GGACGTGCAGATCTGTCCTCGCAGAGGAGGGAGAGCTTGGACCAGAATAAAATTTGGTCTTAAAGGTGCCACTGGACTGTTTTGGGCCAGGGGGCTGGGTGGGGGCTCTGCAACTTACCTGGCTGCTTCTTGCTCTGACTGAGGGCTGCTGGGAGCAGAGGGTGGGGCTTGTTGCCTGTGCCCGCCCCCTGGGCTCTTTACTGCCGGAGCTCCGCTCCTGTGCGCTCCTGCAGGAAATGACCCCTGGTTATAGCATCCACAGGTCCAACTGGTGGACACTGACGCCGTTTTAGAGCTAAACTTGGTTATTTTAAAATGTATCTTTAAACGGACGAGTTCAGCTCTAAAACAGTGTCCCCGGATCGGACCTGCGGATGACGCAACATCTAGTGTGGCCCTGACCCTAAACCCATCTGGCTTCTCTAACTCGTCCTTATCACAAGTCTCTTCCCTTCCTCGCTCAAGTCAACAATTAGGATGGTAAATTCCTTGGGGCAGAAGAGACCTGCCCATTCCAGTGATGTATATAACACCATATGCTTTGCAGACGTTATGTTTACAACAGCAAATGCGAGATCACCCAGGCTAGCTCATCAGAACGTGGAAGCTAAGCAAGGTCGGCCCTGGCTAGTATTTGGATGGGAGACCTCTAAGGCAGGGGTGGCCAGACTTGCTTAACATAAGAGCCACACAGAATAAACATCAGACGTTTGGGAGCCACAAGACAGGAACAAATATAACCCACATGTTTTTATAGAAAAATATGCGACGTTGCTTTTTCTTGACATTAAATGAGGCAGCCAAAAATAAAAACAAAAGGGGTAGATGATTATATTGATAATGATTAGATGGGGAGGGAGGGGAGAAAGAGAGAGAGAAAGAAAGGTGGAAAGAAAGGAAGTGTAAAGAAAGCAAATAGATGGGAGAGCGATTAAGAGAGTCTGGCGAAGCAAGCTATGATGCAGCAGCAGCAGCAGATCTGGAAGCAGGAGATGGCGGGTTGCCAAGTCCTACCTTCGTAATAGCGGGGGGAGTTTTGGATGTCCCCGGGAGTCTCCTGGCGCATGTGTGAAGCGCGCGCACCGCGATCACGTCACCCGAAAGGGATGCAATCGCGTCACGCATGTTAGGGGCGGGGCCACAATCACCCGTGGGAAAACCATAGAGTTTCCCCTCGGATGATACAACGTCCCCACCGCAACATGCCCAACACGACTGCGTCACCCCGGGTGACGTGTTCACGCCAGACGCGTCACGCGCTTTGGGGGTAGGGTCCCCCCGGTGGCCCAATTCCTGCCGGCGGGTAACAGTCCTCTCGGGTGGGGGTTTCTCCGCCCCCTGGGGGGACTTGGCAACCCTAAGGAGATGTCCCGTTCCACTGTGGGCCTGATGGAAGCCCTCTGGGGGGTGGCCTGATCCGGCCCTCGGGCCGCATGTTTGACACCCCTGCTCTAAGGCATACCAGGGTTGTGACTGCCTGAAGCCCCACCAGGGGTCCCCATAAGTGAGCTGTGCCTTGATGCCATGAGGAAAGTGCGTCTGAAATCAATGCCGTACAATAACTGCTTCCTCCCTGATGGATTTCCCAGGCGCAGGGAACGACCTCATCCTCACGAGGATCCTCCACATGGACCGGACGTGGTGCTCCTTAACAACACCTCTCAGGTAACGCTCCGCCAAGGACAAGCCGAGGGCACAAGCCTCCACGCCTGGTGGGAATGTGGCATGCATGCCCGCAGCCAGCCGCTCGAGAAATAAATTCGAAGACGACTCGGTCCCTTCATAAGAACATCAGGAGAGCCCTGCTGGATCAGACCAATGAAGGCCCATCTAGCCCAGCATCCTGTCTCACAGAGTAGCCGACCAGGTCCTCTGGAGGGCCAACAACAGGGCTTAGAGGCCGAGGCCTTCCCCTGATAAGAACATCAGAAGAGCCCTGCTGGATCAGACCACTGAGGGTCCATCTAGTCTAGCCTCCTGTCCCACACAGGGGCCAGCCAGTTCCTCTGGAGGGCCAACAACAGGGTGCAGAGGCTGGGGCCTTCCCCTGAAAAGAACATCAGAAGAGCCCTGCTGGATCAGACCAGTGAAGGCCCATCTAGCCCAGCATCCTGTCTCACAGAGTAGCCGACCAGGTCCTCTGGAGGGCCAACAACAGGGCTTAGAGGCCGAGGCCTTCCCCTCAGAAGAACATCAGAAGAGCCCTGCTGGATCAGACCAGTGGTCCATCTAGTCCAGCACCCTGTCTCACACGGTGGCCAACCAGTTCCTCTGGAGGGCCAGCAACAGGACATAGAGGCGAGGCCTTTCCCTCAGAAGAACATCAGAAGAGCCTTGCTGGGTCAGACCAGGGGTCCGTCTAGTCCAGCATCCTGTCTCACGCAGTGGCCATCCAATTCCTCTGGAGGGCCAACAACAGGGCACAGAGGCCAAGGCCTTCCCCTGACGTTGCCTCCTGGCTTTGGGATTGAGAGGCTTGGAGCCTCTGAATGTGGAGGTTCCCCTCAGCCACCATGGCTAGTACCCACTGATAGACTGATCCTCCGTTAATCTATCAAATCCCCTTTTAAAGCTGTTTATTCCTGTGGCCTTCACAACATCCTCTGGCAGCGAATTCCACCTTTTAATCACTCTCTATGTCAAGTAGTCTTTCCTTTTGTGCAGCGTGAACCTACTGCCCATCAGGTTCAATGGATGCCCTTAAGTTCTAGTCTTTTAGGAGAGGAAGAAACATTTCTCTTTGTGAACTCTCCCCACTCCATGCATGATTTTATAAAGCAGAGGGAGCCTGGCGCAGGGTCGGCAGAAGCCTGGGAGGGAGTCAGAGCCCCGGGTGTGAGTCCTTTGGTCAGAGTTTCTTGCCCTGAGAGACTCTGCTGGCTAGCCGCCGGCCAGGGAGTGCGAGAATTCCAGCTGAATGCCTGATCCTGTGCAGCAGCCTGACATGGGCCCGGGCGAGGAGGTCTTGTCATTGGGACCTGAAAGACCGTTCAGCGGCTCCAAGGGAGCCTCAGTATGTGTCCCTAGAGGCGGTGGGCCCAAGTTCCTAGCAGTTCCTAGGAACCAGTTTGCTGTAGTGGCTAAGTGTGCGGACTCTAATCTGGGAGAACCGGGTTTGATTCCCCACTCCTCCGCTTGCACCTGCTGGGTGACCTTGGGCAAGCCAAAGTTCTGTCAGAGCTGTTCTTGAAAAAGGGCAGTTTCTGTCAAGAGCTCTCTCAGCCCCACCTGCCTCACAGGGTGTCTGTTGTGGGGAGGGGAAGGGAAAGGAGTTTGTAAGCCGCTCTGAGACACCTTTGGGTTGTGAAGGGCGGGGTATAAATCCAATCTCTTCTTCTTCTTCTTCTTCTTCTTCTTCTCTAATCTGGGAGAACCAGGTTTGATTCCCCACTCCTCCACTTTCACCTGTTGGATGACCTCGGGTCAGTCACAAGTTCTGTCATAGCTGTTCTTGAAAAAGAGCCGTTTCTGTCAGAGCTCTCTCAGCCCCACCTACCTCACAGGGTGTCTGTTGTGGGGAGGGGAAGGGAAAAGGAGTTTGTAAGCCGCTCTGAGACACCTTTGGGTAATGAAGGGCGGGGTATAAATCCAATCTCTTCTTCTTCTCCTCCTTCTTCTCCTTCTCCTCCTCCTCCATTTTATCCTCACCACTGAGAGCCAGTTTGGAATAGTGGTTAGGTGTGCGGACTCTAATCTGGGAGAACTGGGTTTGATTCCCCACTCCTCCACATGCAGCTGCCAGTGTGACCTTGGGTCAGTCACAAGTTTTTTCAGAGCTGTTCTCTTAAGAGCAGTCCTTGAAAGAGCTCTGTCAGCTCCACCCACCTCACGGGGTGTCTGTTGTGGGGAGGGGAAGGGAAAAGGATTGTAAGACGCTCCGAGACTCCTTCGGGTAGTGAATGGTGGGATATAAATCCAGTCTCCTCCTCCTCCTCCTCCTCTTCTTCTTCTTCTTCTGTGCGGTAGGTTAGGGTGAGAGAGTGTGACTAGCCCCTGGTCACCCAGTGAGCTCCTATGACACGAGCGGGGATTCGAACCCGGGTCTCCCATATGCTAGTCTGACACTTTTGACCACTACACCACGCTGGCATATTGTTAGCCCTGGCATCTCCCTTTGTTCTCTTGCAGGGGCTTTGTCCGTCATCAAGGAGGATATCAGGGGGGTCCGTCTCAACCTACCTCCCCCCGACCAAGCCAGATGGCCCTGAAGAATGTGGCCACTTCTGGTAAGTGCCCGTGCCCTTTGCATGGCCCAGGTTGGTGGTCAGCAGCTAAGAGTGGCCACAAGGCCACAGTAATCCCCTCTACTCCTGGAACCGGAGCCAAGCCCCTTTCTGTCTTCTTACTAGTGTCCTGGGAAGTCTGTTAAGGCAGTTCTTTGGATGGAAGGAATTTGGTCCTGGGTGCAGAAGTGAAATCGGCTCTCCTTTTATTTTTAAAGCAAGTTGGTAGCTCTTCCGTCTGTGAAATGAGGCTCGAGAGGATAAGGGCAACGCCTGACAAAGAGTCAGGAACCGAAGAACTGGCCAAATCCAGTCTGTGGCAGTCCCAGGGCAGTTCCTGGCTGCACCCCATTGACTAGGCCGGCTGGAATAAATTATGCAAAACTATCAATCTTGCAGAATGGATTATTCTAAATCTTGCAAATCTGGGGAACAGGGACATCCAGTGGTCAGGATGGGCAAAGCTTACTGCCTTCCCTCTTGTCTAGTAGATATTATGCAAAATAGTAGAAAAAAACAGAATAAACTGTGCAGAACAGCAGGGATTCTGCATTATCTCCTTTCATGCCAGTTTTTCTGGGAGTGGAACCTCCCTTCTGTTCAAGGGCTGCCCTGCCAACAGCCAGCAAGCCACCCCTTGCTGAGTTTATTTATTTAATTTGTATCCAACATCCTTAATTAAAATGAATCCGTGGGAGAGTCCAGTTAAAACGGAGCAGAGAGGATAATTGCAGAAAGATTTTTTTAAAAAAGAGCAAGCTGATCTCCAAAAGGCGTCTAGCTGCCAGCCGCCATCTGAACAATTTGACATCTTCCTCCTTCTTGCAGATTCCTCCCAGGAGATAACAAATAAAGTAGCTAAATTTTGCCTTCGGGCCTGTGGGATACGCAAGCGGCTGACCAAGTCTGAATAATAACCTCCCTGTCTCCGTCCCCTCGCAATCAGCGCTCCATCTTATATTTTCTTCTATATATTTTATTTTTATTTCTTATCCTTATCCTTACTATTACTGATCTTGTATCGAAATAAACTTCGAACTCCGTATCCCACATTTCTCCCCGATGGGGACCCAAAGCAACTTGCGTCGTTCTCCCTGCCTGTATTTTTATCCTCACAACAACCCTGTGAGGTGGGTCAGGCTGAGAGAGTGTGACTGGGCCTAGGTCACCCAGCAAGCTTCCATGGCACATTGGGGATTCGAATCTGGCCCTCCCCGGATCCTAGTCCGACACACTGAACCCCTACACCACACTGGTTGTCTGGTGTGTTAGTCTTTGCACCCAGCTGGAGATGACTAGCAAAGCACTCCTACACAGGTCTACTCAGAATGCTACTCGGGTCTATCCAGTAGGGTTTAGTCCCAGAAAAGGGTTCTGAGGATTGGACTGTAGGACTGGGCTGGTGGCGATGAGCAGGGGTCATTTCCTGCGGGAGCACACAGGAGCGGAGCTCCGGCAGTAAAGAGCCCAGGGGGTGGGCACATGCAACAAGCCACACCCCCTGCTCCCAGCAGCCCTCAGTCAGAGCAAAAAGCAGCCCCACCCCACCCTGGCCCAAAACAGTCCAGTGGCACCTTTAAGACCAAGTTTTATTCAGGTCCAAGCTTTCCCTCCTCTGCGAGGACACACTTCCGGTGATGTCAGGGGGTGTGGCCTATGCAAATGAGTTATGTTAATGAGTTATGCTAATGAGCTCCTGCACCTCTTTTTCTACGAAATGACCCCTGGCGATGAGGATGCCTTCCAAGTCTCTGCTGTTTTCTCTCTCCTCTCCAGAAGCCATTGAGAAACACAAGAAGCACTTGGCCGACTGGTTCCGCCAGCAGCCCAATGAGGAGAGGCAGTTCGGGCCGTCCTTCTCGCTGGACACGACCCACGTGGACCCCGTCATCCGAGAGAGCTCCCTGGAGGAGATCCTGAAGCCCTCTCCCGAGATGACCATCCAGAACCAGCTCCAGGCCCCCGGCACCAACGTCATCGGCCTCCAGAACCTCTTCGACATGGACGCCTGCGGCCGCCAAGTAAAGAACGTGGTCCTGTATGGCACGGTGGGCACCGGGAAGAGCACCCTGATCAAGAAGATGGTGATGGACTGGTGCCACGGCCGCCTGCCCCGCTTTGAGCTGCTGCTCCCCTTCTCCTGCGAGGACCTGTCCCAGAACAACGCGCCCATTTCTTTGCGCCGTCTGATCACCAAGAAGTACCTGCACCTCCGGGAGGTGGTGCCCGTGCTGGGCTCGACCCACCTCAAGGTGCTTTTCATCCTCAACGGCATGGAGCGCCTCAACTTGGACTTCCGCCTGGCCCACACGGAGCTCTGCTGCGACCCCAACGAGCCGGTGCTTCCTTCGGCCATCGTGATCAACCTGATGAGGAAGTACATGATGCCAGAGGTTGGTGTTGCAAGGATTTAGAAACCGGAAGGGGATGACATAGGCGCGGTCGATCTTCCCCCTGCTCCGCTTCCTTCCCTCTCAGCATGCAAGGTAAAGGTAAAAGGTCTCCCTTGCTCGAAAGCCGGTTGAATCTGACTCTAGTGGTGCAATGCTCGTCTCCGTTTCCAAGCCGAAGAGCCAGCGCTGTCCGAAGGCATTTCCGTGGTCATGTGGCCGGCATGACTAAACACCAAGGCGCCCGGAACGCTGTTACCTTCCCACCGAAGCGGTACCTATTTATCTACTTGCAATTTCTTGCTTTCGAACTGCTAGGTTGGGAGGAGCTGGGGCCAGAGATGGGAGCTCACTCCGTCTTGCGGCACCTGGGTCTCGAACTGCCGAGCTGCCGACCTTCCGACCTTCCGGTCTGCAGCCTCAGCGTCTTAACCTCTAAACCACCGCAGCCCCAAGAATGAATATGCACATGGATAATTGTTTACTGGCTAGTGTTGCCAGGCATGGCTTGGTAACCACCAGTGGGAGACTAGATGAGGTAGGGACAAGGAAGGTCAACAACGTCATGACGTCACTTCCTGGAAAACCCAGATGTGACATCATGCCTCTCTAGGAATTGTCAGAAACTCTGTGGTTACATGCTCCCAACATGCACATGGCAACTTTATTAGTGGCTAGCATCGGGGCAAAATAAAAAAAGCAGTTTCTGTCAGAGCCCTCTCAGCCCCGCCTACCTCACAGGGTGTCTGTTGTTGGGTGGGGAAAGGGAAAGAAGTTTGTAAGCCGCTATGAGACTCTGAGTGAAGGGCGGGGTATAAATCCAATCTCCTCCTCTTCCTCTTCCTCTTCATCATCATCTAGGAAAGTCGTTACGTATCTTTCACCCTCTGTTAAAATCTGTATAAGGAAACAGTTAACTGGAAATAAGCTAGACTGACCTGGAGTTTTTTAAAGCAGTCTTTCCTTAAACAGACTTCAATAGAGGGTGAAAGAGACATAAGGACTTTCCTGAATGTGTTAAATTTTATACCAGCATTTTGGTGTTATGCTACGTTGTGTATTTCATGAACTTTCGCAGGGGTCATTTCGTAGAAAAAGAGGTGCAGAGCTCATTAACATAACTCATTAGCATAACTTATTTGCATAGGCCACACCCCCTGACATCACCGGAAGTGTGTCAGAAGGCAACACCCACCACTCATGCTCCACTGCACTGTTTTGGATTGCTAGCTTTTGGGGGGGGGGAAACGTGCAGATCTGTCCTCACAGAGGAGGGAGAGCTCGTACCTGAATAAAACTTGGTCTTAAAGGTGCCACTGGACTGTTTTGGACCTGTTGGCTCTGCAACTCACCTGGCTGCTTCTTGCTCTGACTGAGGGCTGCTGGGAGCAGGGGGTGGGGCTTCTTGCATGTGCCCACCCCCTGGGCTCTTTACTGCCGGAGCTCCACTCCTGTGCGCTCCTGCAGGAAATGACCCCTGAACTTTTGGGGTTCTGCAGTGATATGTGTCTCCATGGAAGGCCATGAAAGGGGAGTGAGAAGACAAAGTGACTGAGAGGAGGGGTCAGAGGGCAGCTCCCAGGTTAAGACAAAGGGAGGTATCTCATTCAAAGAGAGAACACCTAGACACGCTTTGAGTGATGTAGTGCCCTCCTGTGTCCAGGCATGCTGAGTCGCTCACTCCAGCAATCATAACAAGCAACAGCCAACAAGGATCCCTTGCCTACCATTAATTTAATCATAACAAGCAACAGCCAACAAGGATAGAAGCATCCCTTGCCTACCATTAATCTTTCCTGCCCTTATCTGCTCCTGTCCCCCTAGGCGAGCATCATTGTCACCACCCGCCCCTCTGCCGTGCGCCGGCTCCCCAGCAAGTTTGTGGGCCGCTACGTCGAGGTCTGCGGTTTCTCCAACGTCAACCTTCAGAAGCTCTACTTCCAGATGCGCCTGAGCCAACCCGATTGCAGCGGCGCTTCCGGTCCCGCCACGGCGGAAGAGTCGAGCGAGCGGGACAATCTGGTGGAGATGCTCTCGAGGAACTTGGAGCGCCACAACCAGATCGCGGCCGCTTGCTTCCTGCCTTCCTACTGTTGGCTGGTCTGCACCACCTTGCACTTCCTCTACTTCACCAAGTCGGTGCCCCCCGCTCAGACGCTCACTGGCATCTACACCAGCTTCCTGCGGCTCAACTTCAGCGGGGAGGTGCTGGACAGCACCGACCCCTCCAACATCTCCATGATGAAGTACGTGGCCAAAACGGTGGGCAAACTGGCCTACAAAGGGGTGATGTCCCGGCAGACGTCCTTCTCGGAGGAGGACCTGCGCCACTGCTTCGAGGTGGAGATGAAGGAGGAGAGCGAGCTCAACCTCCTGAATGTCTTCCGCAGTGACGTCTTCCGCTTCTTCCTCACTCCCTGTGTCCAGCCGGGCAAGGAGCACACCTTTGTCTTCACCATTCCCGCCATGCAGGAGTACTTGGCAGCCCTTTACGTGGTCCTGGGCGAGAAGAAGACCTTGACGCAACGGATAGGCAAGGAGGTCTCCGAGGTCATCGGCAAGGTGAGCGAAGACGTCGCCGTGGTCCTCAGCATTGTCTCCAAGTTCTTGCCGCTGCGCATCTTGCCGCTGCTCTTCAACCTCATCAAGATCTTCCCCCGCTACTTCAGTCGCTTCAGCAGCAAGGACCGCGACACCATCGCTCGCACCATGGCGGTGGAGATGTTCAAGGAGGAGGACTACTTCAACGACGACGTCTTGGATCAGATCAACTCCAGCATCCTCGGGGTGGAGGGACCCATGCGCCATCCGGACGAGGCCTCCGACGACGAGGTCTTTGAACTGTTCCCCATCTTCATGGGTGGGTTGCTCTCGCGGCGTAACCGGGCCATCTTGGACCAGCTGGGCTGCCCTATCAAGAACCTGACAGTCTTTGAGATCGCCAAGGCCATGAAGAAGACGGTCATCCGCAACAGTCGTAAGGGCCTGCCCCCGTCTGAGCTCATGGATTACCTCTTCTTCCTGCACGAGTTCCAGAACGAGCGCTTCACGGCCGAGGCCGTCCAGTCCTTGAGGACCATCAACCTCTCCTCCGTCAAGATGACCCCACTCAAATGCTCTGTCCTGGCATCTGTGGTGGGCACCACAAGCCATGAGGTGGAGGAACTCAACTTGGCCTCTTGCCACCTGGATGTCAACAGTCTGAGGACTCTGTTCCCTGTCTTCCTGAGGTGCAAGAAGCTCCAGTGAGTGTTGGTGTCTCCTTGGCCTCATCTTGGCACATCACAGGTGCCATTTTAAACTAGAGGGGCTTAGAGCTGTGCATGCCACCCTGAGCTCCTTGGAGGAAAGGCAAGAGAGCTGTGCGATACATAGGCAAAACTGAGCATACATGCTCAGAGGGCTATAGCTGAGCACATGAACGCATGATGCTACCTTAATACTGAATCAGAGCACAGGTCCATCAAGGTCAGTATTGTCTACTCAGACTGGCAGCCGCTCCCCAGGGTCTCAGGAAGAAGCCTTTCACATCACCTCCTACCTGATCCTTTTAGCTGGTGATACCAAGGATTGAAAGTAAGATACAGGAAGGGGAAAACAAACTTGACCCACAAGGGTAAGAAAGAAGTCTGATAAAAGGCCAATATTAAAAACCTAGTTGAAACTGAAGTCAGGAGGGCGACGCCATCCCCCTCCTGACTACGGAGGGACCCTCCCAGTCAGCACCCGAGAGAAGACCGAATCGAATCCCAGGCCGTTTCCGGGAGGACCCGAAACGCTGGCACAACACCCTCGTAGGGGAGGATGGAAGATTTGTATTCACTTACCGTGAAGCTTCCTTCTCGGTGGTCCAGAGTGGAGCAGTCCTAGGAGTAAGGAGTCAAGGACTGCCCCACTCCTGGACCACCGGAGAATACCCAGGGAAGGGAGGCGGACGAGGTTGCGGGGCAGATTGGGCAGTACGTCAAGGGTATGACCGCTGGAAGGTGGGATGGTGGGTTGAGGAGCGAGACCAGAACCCTCTGGAAACCCAGTCTTGTGGGTAGGTTCCTTTAAGAAGTGGGTAGTGGATGGAACAGGTGTTGGAGCTGAAGACAAATAAAAGAGAGTTTTCAGGTGTAAGCCGGGGAGGATGCAGGTGGCGGTTCGAGGAAAGAGGTTCAAGGAAAGATGGAGAGGAGGGAGCAAGAGGCCTCCAGGCCATATCCACTCGAATGCGCCTATCGAACCCCACCGTTGGTTAGGAGTGAACTTAACTCTGCCAACAGGAGTCTGAGGTGAACCCTGACTCTCCGCTTCAGCAACATCCTGGATCCTATCCACGGCCGACTAGACCTCGTCCTACTACCCGAAGGTGACACTTATAATATACAAAAATACAGGTATTTATTAGAAAGGCAGTTAAAAACATACATAAGGGCCCAATGAAAGCCTCGTTAAAAAGTTCAAGTGTACTGAACACAAGAGCCAATGCACATGACCTGATGCGTTTCCGCCCTATTGACGGCCTTCTTCAGAGGTCAAACCGTATTGAGGTACATGTAACAATAATACATATTACAACAAGATAACCAATAAGTAAATACTGGACCAAGAAAAGGAAGGTTTAACCTTGTGTTTAGGTCACTTGAACTTTTTCACAAGGCTGTCGTTGGACCCTTATATGTTTTTAACTGTCTTTCTAATAAATTACATGTATTTTTGTATAAGTTTCAACTAGGTTTTTAATATTGGCCCTTTATCAGACATCTTTCTTACCCTTGCGGTTCTTGATACCAAGGACCAGGGGTCATTTCCTGCAGGAGCGCACAGGAGCGGAGCTCCTGCAGTAAAGAGCCCAGGGGGCGGGCACATGCAACAAGTCCCACCCACTGCTCCCAGCAGCCCTTAGTCAGAGCAAGAAGCAGCCAGGTAAGTTGCAGAGCTTTCCCCGCCCCCCCCAGCCCAAAACAGTCCAGTGGCACCTTTAAGACCAAGTTTTATTCAGGTACAAGCTCTCCCTCCAGACATCTTTCTTACCCTTGTGGTTCTTGATACCAAGGACTGAACCTGGGACCTTCTGCATGCCAAGCAGATGCTCTGCCACTGAGCCACGGCATGCGTAAGGTTCAGACCTTGGCGTCTCCAGCCAAAACAGATCTCTGTCTCTCTAGTACATTTTCATCCCACCCTTCTGCAAAGTATCTCAGGGCATGGTATACTGTTCTCCCTTCCTCTTTTTATTCTCACAACGACCTTGTGAGGTGGGTTAGGCTGAAAGAGGGAGAGTGACTGGGCCAGGGTGAGCCAGCAAGTTTTGTGACTGTAGTCTTAAGACTCTAACCACTACACCACACTTTCAGGTAGTGAGGCTGGGAAAGGCCTCTCTGCCAAAGGCATGGGGAGCTTCCCCCTCTGCCACTGATGGGCCATCGGTATGTCTGCCACTCCACTTGACCTGGATGGCCCAGGTTAGCCTGATCCCGTCAGATCTCGAAAGCTAAGCAGGGCTAGTATTTGGAAGGGCAACTGAAATGTCTCTTGCCTTAAAAACAAGTCTAGCTCACCACCTAGTGGTGCATGTCAGGTCTCCCAGTTAAGACACTCTCCACCAGTGATCGTTTATTGAGATATGCTTATTTCAGAAACAGACTCTGTGTCGGAACTGAAAGTTGGCTCGAAGAATTCTCAGATATAGGCAATACAAAATGCATCCCCACACCCCATACACACGTCATCAAGCGGCCCCTACGGTTGCTATGGCACCCTGACAGATATATGGGGCCTTATCTATAAAGCAGGCAAAAGAGTTTCCAAGGTCAGCTCTCATGGGAACCAGCGATGGGGCACAGTCTTCTGGAAAGTTTTGGCTACTACAAGCACACACTCTCACATCTATGCACTCCCATCAGGAATTTTCCTACACCCAGATTTACGGCAAGCAGAAGAGAGGAGAAGAGAGTGAAAGACAGGGGAACGAAACTGATGCTTGACAGTGCATAACACTAAAAGAGCTAGAACGTCTCGCTGCCAGACAATCTTAGGGTCTCCTGGCTATTCTACACATATTGCCATATGGTAATTAATTGATTGATTCCATGGTACTAATAATCATGTTTAACCTTCTTGGGTCCCGGTCTGCAAGAGAGACGGATCGGGGGCACATCAAGTGGGCGCAATCACACCACAACATCTGGGAAGCAATGGCCAACCACCTCTGTTTGTCTCTTGCCTTGGAAACCCCACTGGGTTGCCGTACGTTGGCTTCGACTCGACAACATTTTATACACACACAGTCATTTTGAGAATTCAGAAATTTCAGGAGAGCCTTATGCCATTTTTGATTTCCCTGAGCTGAAAGGAAACAGCAAATTTGGGATATGATTTTGGCTCAGAAATATCCAAATGCAAACTCCTAGCTGTGGCTACAGACAAGAAATCCTTCCTGGGAGCACACTGATGGGATACTCGCAAATAATAATATATCCCCCCCAAGGGGGAAAAAAACCCCACAATTACATATCAGAAAAGGGAGGAGAGTCTTACTTATATCTCTCTAAACTCCAGCAAGATTTTTAAAAGGTCTGGACTACTATTAAAAAAAATTTAAAAAAGAGGTAACTTTAGAAAGAGATTTTGAGGTGTACAACATCGATTTGAATAATTTCAGATAACAATCTGTACGCATTTTAAAATTGCAGGCACAAGACATTACAGCTCAGAGCAAGTTAAATACAAAATCAAAAACCTCAATTTTCCACGCTGCCTGCAATACAACACTCACCGGCTGGGGGGAAGAGCACGGTGAGGAAGGGTAGAGGGCAAAATCAAATCATTCCTGGCATTGACGACAGCTTGTTGGAATATATATATATTTAAATGCTCCTTGGACTGTCGTCTCTCCTGTCACCAGAGGGTGGCAAACTATGATCAGGAGTGGATGGAGACAGGAAGGGCATTGCAGTTTCTGATGTAGTATAAAATGCTGATCTGTTTTCTCTCGCCCCTCCCCCTCAGCTTGCAGCTCAACAGTCTGGGGCCAGAAGCTTGCAGGGAGATCCGAGACCTGCTCTTGCACGAGAAATGTATGGTGAGCACGTTACGGTAAGTGTGAAAGGGGGCGTGGCCAGAGGGAGCCCTCACTCCCACTTGGGGAGGCAAGGGTCCGAGACCTTCTAATGCTATTCGATTGGCAGCCACTCTGGCGGCTTCTTAGGTGCCAATTAGAATGGCAATTAAGTGGCGGGGTTGTCAACCTCCAGGTGGGGCCTGGAGATCTCCCAGAATTACAGTTGATCTCCAGATGACAGAAATCAGTTTCCCTGGAGAAATGTTCAGGGTAGCTGTGTTGGTCTGCAGCGGAACAGCTAGATTTGAGTCCAGGGGAGGGCAGGCTTCATGGCCGAACAGCCCACTGAAGTCCCTGTATTTCCCAAGCTCCACCACCTTAGGGTTGCCAACTCTGAGTTGGGAAATACCTGGAGATTTGGGAGGTGGAGCCTGGGGAGGGCGGGGTTTGGTGAGGGGAGGGACCTCAGCAGGGTACAATGCCATAGAGCCCACCCTCCAAAGCAGCCGTTTTCTCCAGGGGAACTGATCTCTTTTACCTGGAGAGCAGTTGTAATAGTGGGAGGTCTCCAGGGCCCACCTGGAGTTTGGCAACCCTAGGCATTGGGTGATATCTCATGGCTTTTAATGGCACAGTGAGTCAGTGTGTGTGTGTAGCTGATTTTTACTTGCTCTTATTGGGGGGTTTGTGGTTGCTGCAAAACATAAGAGAAGCCCATGTTGGATCAGGCCAATGGCCCATCCAGTCCAACACTCTGTGCCACACGGTGGCCACAAACCCAGATGCCATCAGATTTCTGACAAAAAATGAGGTAGAAACATTCATAACAAATAAATATAGAAATATCGGGTGGGTGAAGTTGGGGTTGGGAGGATTAGCGGCTTGCAAAAGGGCACCTGCTGAATTTGTGGCAGAGGAGACGTCTGAACTCGGGACTGACTTTCAGGCACTACGCTGGGCTAATTGTTCGACAAACATTCAGCCCTGCAGCGAGAAACCTCAAAGTGAGCAACTGTAGTACGTTACACAGAAAGTTCCTGTACCACTATTTAATGTGTAAAAGCGATGTCAATAGCACATCCTTAAATTGTGCTTCTTTGAGCCAATGTTTGCTTTTCAAAACTGTTCTGTTCTGCTATTTTTATTGGGACATTTTGGGGGGGTTTGCATTATTTTGCTACTTAAAGGTAAAGGATCCCTTGCACGAAAACCAGTCGAGTCCGACTCTAGGGTTGCGGTGCTCATCTCCGTTTCAAAGCCGAAGAGTCAGCACTGTCCGAAGACCTTTCCGTGGTCATGTGGCCGGCATGACTAAACACCAAGGCGCACGGAACGCTGTTACCTTCCCACTGAAGTGGTACCTATTTATCTACTTGCAATTCTTGCTTTCGAACTGCTAGGTTGGCAGGAGCTGGAACTAGAGACGGGAGCTCACTCCGTCATGCGGCACCCGGGTCTCGAACTGCTGAACTACTGACCTTCCACAGCCTGCAGTTCAGCGTCTTAACCACTTGAGCCACCGCAGCTCCTTTTTTTTGCTACTTACCTTGGAACAAATAGTTTTCTATAGTAGGGGAGTTTTCCCCAGTTGTCTTATCTGCAGAGGACACCCTGTGCATTGCAAAAGATTCTGGGATGCATTCTAGACGCCACCATCCCTTCTAGGGTTGCCAGTCTCCAGGTGGGGCCTGGGGATCTCCCGCTTTTACAACCGATCTCCACTGAAAGAGATCAGCTCCCCTGGAGAAAATGGCACCTTTGAAGGGCGGACTCTACGGCATTATACCCTGCTGAGTCCCCTCCCCTCCCCAAACCCCACCCTCTCCTGGATCCATCCCCAAAGTCTCCAGGTATGTTCCCAACCCAGACCTTTCAACCCTAATCCGTTCACTCTGCCAACTTTCTTGAGCTTCTGTGTTGCTCTGCATGAACTGAAAAGCACGTGCCTGGAAGATCACATCCCGCACTCCTTCACAACTGCATATTTTGGGGACAGGTCAGGGTGGAAGTCCAGTTGCCTTGTAGAGGGAGCCGTCTCCTGTGTGTGGCCTATAATAAGATTATGTAGAACCTCCGGTTTCTCCAGAATGCCACTGGAAATTCTAAAGAAAAATATTTTTAAAAAATACATCCCGGTGGCTTAAGCAAGAAACGAAGGCGCTTACACAACCACTGGGGCCTGCAGAAACCTAGAGCTGTGGTAAGCAGGGTTGCCAGCCGCTCGGAGAAAAACTGTCCTGTCCTTTTAATAGAGGTTTAATGTGACGTTATCTACCCCCTTGATTTAGCTGCACATTTCCATATATTAGGCCTCTATTAAATAGATAGTAAATTTTCTCCAGGCCTGTTGGCAACCCTGAATTAAAGGCTGCCATATGGTCTTCTATTTCCTCCTTAGGTCTGGTGCTGGGAAATGTGATTGCAGAGCCCTGAGGGGGTAAAAAAGGACCGTACCACTTCAAATTGTGATGGAGGAAACGCAGGAAAGTTTTCCCATGTACAGGACTTCCTGCTAATAAAACACCAGGGACATCTGAAGAAGTGAGCAGTGGCTCACAAAAGCTGGACTCTTGCTCTTTTCTATGCTACATGCCGACTAACATGGCTAGCCATCTTGATCTGTCACCAGGGGAAAAGTAAAACCTCTTCCTATGGTGATACCTTTGCCAGGGCTCTTTTTGTAGAAAAAGCCCAGCAGGAACTCATTAGCATAATAGGCCACACCCCTGACAGCACAGCTTATTAGCACATTAGGCCGCACCCCCATGTTACCAGAAGTGTGGTCATCCAGCCACACCCACCTTTTGCTTGTTATTCTGTTTACCTTGTTTGTTGTCAAAACCCAGGGCTTTTTTGTAGCAGGAACTCCTTTGCATGTTAGGCCACACACCCCTAATGTAGCCAATCCTAATGAGTTTCTGCTGTTGGGTGTTGCCTATTATGCTAATGAGTTCCTGCTGGGCGTGGCCAACTCAGGAGCCAGCCGAAACTCCGTTCCTGTGCGTTCCTGTGCGTTCCTGCCCCAAAATAGCCCTGCCTTTCTCTTTGCAAAGAATTTTGAACACATGGAAGGATGTTAAAACGTGAATTCCTGCCTGCAATCTAAACTGGTACAGTCCTTTCTGCCACCCCGTTCTACTGCTGGATGTGTGAACTCGGCTGGTTCTCTCATAGAATCATAGAGTTGTAAGGGACCTTCGGGGTCATCTAGTCCAACCCCCTGCACAATGCAGGAAATCCACAAATACCTCCCCAACACACACACCCAGTGACCCCTCTTCCATGCCCAGAAGGTGACAAAAAACTTCCAGGATTACCAGCCAAACTGGCCTGGAGAAAAATTGCTTCCTGACCCCAAAGTGGCGATCAGCATTTCCCTGGGTGTGTAAGAAAGGGCCACGAGAACTAAGCACTGAGGCAACCCTTCCTGCCCTCCCTCTCATGATCTGCCCAAGTTCACAGAATCCGCATTGCTGTCAGGTGGCCATCTAGCCTCTGTTTGAAAACCTCCCAAGGAGAGCCCACCACCTCCCGAGGAAGCCCGTTCCACTAAGGAGCCACTCTAACTGTCAGGAAGTTCTTCCTAATGTTAAGCCGAAAACTCTTCTGATTTAATTTCAACCCGTTGGTTCCGGTCCAACCTTCTGGGGCAACAGAAACAAACTCCGCACCAACAGGGGTCGTTTCATAGAAAAAGAGCTAGGGGAAC